AACTCGGCTAAAGTGACCCCCAGTACATGATCGGTGGACATCCGGACACTCACACCGATACTATGCACCGCTAAATATATGCAAGTATGCATTTAACAATGCTCTGCACATAATTAATAATTATTCTTTCATAGTATCTCTCCTGTAAGAGATGCCTCCCCTCTCCCATTCTGTGACTGCAAACATGCAAAACATGACAACATTTCAAATATTAGCACATTTTGAGTAAAATGAATTAAAATAGTCAAACAATTAACTGAATAAATAACTGATTGAATAAACAGATGATAAGTGATATTTAACTAACAGTAAAGTGTTAGTAATGGTTGCATAAGATGTGCATAACATATGAGTACAGTGTCTATGAATGGCACGAATGGTGTGTATAGTTGTGTGAATTGAGTGTTGACTCACTTATGTATTGAATCATTGAATCCAACAAAACATCAAAACATTTGTCAATTGAATTGTAATTACAATTGAATTGAATTAAACCGCAAATCGTATGATTGGCTCATATATTGAGTATAAAGTGTATGTAATTATAATCACTTAATAATCGCGACAATAATAATAATAACCATAAATACTTACCATAAGTGTTGATAATGACGGCAATGGATAACAATCCGATGAGACGCCTGTCGTTAGTATTGTTTATGATTTAATGAATTAATTATACGATTATATAATTGCTAAATGATATGACAATAACTGATCGCAAACTCTACCCTTCACTGCAAACCCAGGGCTACGGGAGACTCGCTGTACATCATATTAGGCGTCCCGAAGACCGCCACCGGGGATGACATCAAGAAGAGTTACCGCAGAGTATTGACCAAAACATTACCAAAACTATTACTCGCACTAAACAATAGTCCCTTCAATTCATAGTTACCCATAACTATCACCCATTTATTGACACTTCTCTGTCTCCCTGTGCCTACCATTATATGCCCGACCCGTGTATGTGCTGTCAATCGCACGTGTGTTTCGCGGTTACACTATTGACACCGCATTTGTCGTACATTAAAACAACTCATTCTCTACACTATTATTGCCCACATTTTTATCAATAGTTATATTGAGTTTTAGATATAGTTTACTCTTTTTTATTTCATATACTTATCATTGAAACACATTATAAGTGNAATGAATTTTTAAATAATTTAATATTTTCAATTTAGGAAAGAGATAATGATATATTGATTAATATTTGTCTAAATATAAAATTTTTATTTATTTAATAACCTTTCATTCCTACCATTTATTAGTTACTTATTTCACTCATTAAATTGAAGTCAAGAATATGTTTAGAGTTATATATTTCATAAAATAAGATCTAAAAAATCAATAAAACTAAAACCTACTGTTTTTTTGGCAAAAAACTAATGTTTTGCAATAAAATAGAGTATAAAATCATTTATTATTCACATAAATAGATAGAAACGGAAATTACGGCTCTCTTGGCCTCTATATAGCGGAACAGTTCGGCGAAGAGAATGTCAACACGTATTTCGTTTTGACCAGTGGTTGGTGTAAAGCTATCTTCTTCTGCACAGCAGTCTTCACGTGTTGTTACTGTTGTTGTTGTCTTTGCTGTTGTTTCAACTTCTGTTGCGGCAAATGTCGACCAAAACATCCCGAAGAGGATTACGTTCCAGATTTGGTTCGTCTAGACTCTCTCTCTCTCTCTCTCTCTCTCTCTCTCTCGTGATAATTGTTTTGTATTTGTAATAACAATGTGTTTGCATTGAATAGGATATCGGCGAAGAGGACGACACGACAAACTTAAAAAAGGTTTGTTTTTAGCGTTGTTTTTATGTTTTATGAGTTGAAACAACTTTTATAGCGATAATAATCTCGTAAAAGTGTTTTCCCGTAATTTCCGTTTCTATCTATTTATGTGAATAATAAATGATTTTATACTCTATTTTATTGCAAAACATTAGTTTTTTGCCAAAAAAACAGTAGGTTTTAGTTTTATTGATTTTTTAGATCTTATTTTATGAAATATATAACTCTAAACATATTCTTGACTTCAATTTAATGAGTGAAATAAGTAACTAATAAATGGTAGGAATGAAAGGTTATTAAATAAATAAAAATTTTATATTTAGACAAATATTAATCAATATATCATTACCGGTATCTCTTTCCTAAATTGAAAATATTAAATTATTTAAAAATTCATTTTCTGCTAAACATAAGGCAATTAATTTTATTGAATCACTTTTTTTGCACAAAATATAAGTGAATTCTGGTATGAATTAGTGCCCAGAATTCGTATAACAATTTATGGGTCACACGTTTGGAGCGGTGTATAAAAACTAATAAATTATTACCAATTTTTCACTAATTCACTAAATACATACATATTGTATACGGAATTAATAATTTATGAATTTGTAAATAATAATGAATGTAAACATTTTGTTACCATTCTATGTACAGAACGAATGGGGAGAAACAGAGACCGAACAGACCAATGCCTCCACAATCACTAGTCAACCGCAGGCACCCGTCGATCCGTGGGCTGATAAACAGTCGATTCCCATTGCAATGCCGGCGCCCACAGCGGGTGGCGACCCGTGGGCCGCAACTGAGACCACTGGACTCAAAGATACTCATCACTCCTCTTATATGAGTTCTTAGGGCTTCAGAAATATTAAAATTATTCCATTGAAAACCAATACAAAGCCATTAAAATTTAGGCCTAAATATGGGTTCAATCGGATGCCAGTTCTAATCGTTCACATCATATGTGTCTATAATAAACACATTAATTATAATAAGTTTTTTGAGTAAAAATATGTTTGATATGAACAACAGTGGCATTGATTGACATATTATAACAGAAATTCTTATGTATTTATAAATGTAATTATAGCCCATATATATAAATGAATGAGTTTTTTATATTATTATTATATAGTTATTGAATGATTTTATGTTTTATTGCATTCAGTTAGGGCTCAAGTCTTCATATTTAATAAACAAATTGATTTTTAGTTAAACTATTAAATTTAATTTAATTTTTGTAAGAATTATCATTAATTTTAATTAAATACAGTAACTATTTGTTTCACTGATAAATATAAACAATTACACAATATTTACAGTCAATTATAATATAATTATAAAAACTTTTCAGTTGATTCTCTTGGAAACAAATCTGATTATACCGTATAATACAATTCCATTCAAAAATCAATATTAATTATAAATTACAATACAGTATACCGTATGAGACAAACAAAAAAGTAATGTCTAAATAAAAATGTGTTTTGATTTTAATTTAATTTAATTGTAGACTATTTATAGTGAATCTGTGTTCGGGTTCTCAAACACCCAATTGTTGGTCAGCGTTGAGAGCATATATGGCGTCAAACCTGTCGTTCACGTCAGCCCTTCTTATAGTAACAGCACTTGTGGTCAATGTGTTATCAATGGATGATTCAATGTTTGAGGGATTCTTTGAAATGGCGGCAGACGTGACCCCAATCGGAGCTGACAGGGGGTCTGTGCCGGGGCTGACAGTGAATGTCGGCCGCGAAGATATCAGTTCCAGTGGTGACATAATGGGCGGCGGAGAGGGAGGGATAATGCCGGCCATTGGCGCCGACTTGGATGGAGAGATAGTGAGCGGTGGCAAAGGGGGCAGAAGTGATGGAGACTCAGGCCTAGGATCGGACGGTTCCGCTTTGATGGTCACCGTATGGGTCGTCAAATTGGACTTCTCTTTCTCGGATCGCTTCTTATTCATGAGGAAACTGATTGGAGTGACGGGCGGTGTCTTAAGTGGCGGCGGAACGATGCGGGACAGGCTCTCCAGACCAGACGACTCCAGTTTCGAGAAGTACTTCTGGAGTCGCGGGTCGTTCTTAAGGCGGGCGTCGATCCTATAGATGGAGACGTACGTCGAGTAGTCGATGTCCGGCGCTTTCATTGGCCACAGTTTGTACTCGATCTTCACGTTTGGGTCGCATATCTTGA